GATCACAGAGAGTAATTGGGATGCATGGTATAGTAATGGTCAAACCGCAGGATACAAAACCACATACGCTCGTGATAATTATTCTTTAGTATTTGCTACTGTAAAGGTACACCATTTTTTTTTAAGTTTACATGCATAGGGAAGATATTTGTTGTTTAAAATAAACTGAAATTTTGTCATTTGCCATTAATTGTGTAGGGAGCGGGTCATACAGCTCCAGAGTTCAAACCAGAAGAATGTTTTCAGATGGTTAAGAGGTGGTTTGCTAATAAACCTATCTAAACCAACAATTTAGTGTTCTCTAAATGAGATATTCAAGATTCATTCTAGGGTTTGTTTGGGCTTTAGATTAGCTTATTTTATTGCACGATTCGTTGGTCATYCAATAGTGAAGGTGATCTTGTAGTATTTATTTTGTTTCGGTGTTATAATTTGTTACAGATGCATTAATAATATTTGATTGATTTCAATAAATTGAGAAATAAGAAATTGTTATATTGAATTTATGGTAAAGGATAAAGCTAGATCATGAAATAGTATCTCTCCAAAACCTAAATGTACATCGTATGTATAGATATATAACTATACACACACACATACATACCCGATTGTTTTTTTAACCACTTAAATAGTGTTAACTATGCATAGTCATATTAGCCAATCAAATATCTTAATTGTTTTTGGTTTAATAACTCGCCTAAGTTAAGTAGTAGGGGTCTTTGTTTTTAATTTTAGTCGGTTACATATTCATAACCCAGGGGATGGGTTACAACAATCCTCAAAAATAGCTTATTTGGTCGAGATCTTTCATTGCAAACATACTTAGATGGGATATAATAGTGTAGCGAAGAGCATCTGAAGATGTTGTCAGGATAATGTCATCCACATAGAGAAGAAGATAGGCCATTTTCAATCTCCATTTAAAAATGAACTAGGAATGGTTGGATGTGCTATGAATGAAACCAAAGGTAGCTAGAAACTCGGCAAACCTTTGGTACCAAGCCCGGGAGGCCTGTTTAAGACCGTATAAAGATTTATTCAATAGACAAACGTGGGATGGATAATCGGGATTGCGGAACCCCAATGGTTGATGAATTTATACAGTCTCCTTAAGTTCTCCATGCAAGAATGTATTTTCTACATCAAGTTGGTGAATGAAACAATCTTTCAAAAGATCTAACAAAAGTATTGTCTGTATTGTAGTTGGTTTTACGACTGGACTAAACGTGTCGCCACAATCCATGCCTACATGTTGTGTCTTGCCATCACCTACAAGACGGGCTTTATGCCACTCAAATAAACCATCAGGTTTCTCCTTATGAGAAAAAAATCCACATAGACCGAATAACATTAACATTACATGGTTTAGGGACTAATTACCAYGTTTTGTTAGACATTAGAGCATTATATTCATCGGTCATAGCAATTTTCCAGTCACGTCATGGAGAACAAGAATGGGATTTCTTGGTAAAGGAGAAAAATAGAGCATATCGGAAGA